CTTTAACTTTCACAACTGTTCTTACACACTAATTCTACATCACCGTTGGACAGAAGTAGAATTAATGCATAAATCATTAAAATTAACAACTTTTCTTATACACTAATTCTACATCACCGTTGGGCAGAAGTAGAATCAATGCATAAATCATTAAAATTACGATATTGTTATTAACAACGTTGGTCAGAAAATAACAACATCATAATCATATCAAAACTATTTTTCTCCAATTAAATACCACATTGGTTCAAAATAACTGGAGAATCAATAATTTCTTTAGCAGCGGAAAACCTTTCTTTTTCTCCAATTAAATACCGCATTGGTTCAAAATAACTGGAGAATAAACAACTTTTCTTTAGCTGTGGAAAAATTCTCTTTTCCTTGAATTTTACCCACAGGAAAAATTATATTTTCTATTTCCTTTAATCCATTAATCAATTTCCAGGAAATAAAGATTTACTGGAAAAACTTTTCTTTTCTCCAATTTAACATACCTTTTCATATTTTCTTTAAGCCTTTTATCCATTTTCCAGGAAATAAAACCTTTACTGAAAAATGAAAAAAAAAAGAAAAATATGACTCAATTGTTTCACTATTCTTTCGGCCCAATACGGCAAGACGGCCCACGGCCCATGCCCGCATGGGCATTTCCTGCGCTCTCCCCCGCGCCCAGGCCGCAACCTGGGCCTGGGCCGGAAATTCAGCCTGGCGCGCTCGCCCGCCTGGGCTGAAAGCCGGCCTGCTCAGTCTGAGCCGTCCGATGGAGATCGACGGCTGCGCGTCGATTTCGCTCCAACAAAACCCCGGCCGCGGCCTCCGACCTGAAACCCTAGGTCATTCGGCCTTCTCCTCTCTCTGTCTTCACCGCTCTCTCTCTTCTCTCCTACCTCAGCGCAGCCGCAGCCACCGAGAGGACACCGAGTGGGAGTGAGCAGCGAACCACGGCGCCGTCGCCGGCCCCCTCGCCGGCGCGCGTGCTCCCCGACGGGTGAGCACACCGCCGTCGAGTGGCCTGGCCGCGACGCCCCCTTGACCGAGCCCAACGAGCAACTGCCCCCGCTCGGCACTTCTTCTCCCATGCCGGCGAAGGGAGGGTTCGCCCGGTGATTAGGGTTTGGGTTTTTTCTCTTCTTTTCTCTGATTTGCTGTTCTTCCTTTTCTTTTCTTTGACATCCGAATGGATCTAGGGTTAGGTTTTTCTCTTCTTTGGATTTTTCTTTTCTTTTCCTCCATGCGAGTTAGGGTTAGGTTCGGTTGAACCCATCTTTTTCTCTTTGTTCTTTTTCTTTTCGCTTGAATTTCCCGAACAGATTATCCCCGTTCTAGGGTTATGCTTTTCAATTGATTTCTTTTTCTTTACTTTGATTTAGGGTTCGGCTCTATTCATCTTAGGGCCGAAACCTTTCTTTTTCCCCTTTCTTTAACCCAGTTAGGGTTAGGGTTAGGGAGTGTTCGGTTCTTTTCTCTTCAGATCCGAAAGGAAGTGTTCAGTTCAGTTCTGTTCTTCTTCCCCGAGCTTTCTGCGCGGGTTAGGGTTAGAGTTCTTGATATCCCTTTTCCCCTTTCTTTTCTGTGATCTAAAACACGGATCTTTTCTGTTCTTGCTGTGCGCCGGTGTAGAACAGCGGTGCGTTCATCTTCCCCCGCGCGGTGGCGGTGGTGACCGGGTTCCAGTGACATCCGCCACCCCCGGTCCCTTTTCCTTTTCTTTTACCCGGTTAGGGTTAGGGTTACACACTTGTAACCTGTCTCTGGTACCATTGTTAGAATCGATGGATGTGTACCTCTGTGTAACCCGTAGATCCGGTGTGAGCCTTCTCACCCTTTGTGCGTTATTCACCGCTCTGTCCATGACGCCGCAGCAGCTTGGACGCCGGTGTAGGGGCAGCTCCGGGTCGGTGGCGAGACGGCGAGGTAGCGATGCCGTGGAGATCCAGAGGGGACGGTGGTGACCTGCGTGAATCGAATCGACGGCGGTGGTGGCGGGCTCATCCCGTCGCTGGCAGCACGTCTTTAGATCGGTATTAGGGTTTCTGTAGGTGGGTGTGGCGGCTCCAGTGAACCTCATCTCGAGCTCGATCCCCACCTTCTCTATTTGTATGTGCTGTGCGACAGGGGCCCACCAACCAGTTATGGTTGGGCTCCCCCGATCAGAGAGCAGAGCCAAGGGCCCAATAGGCCGTTGGACCTATTGGTGGAGATCAGCTAACAACGCACGCTGGCCGCAACCCACGCATCGCTGCCCAACGGCAGAAGCCTACAAAGCTTCTTTGCCGATCGATCTGCTCTGCTGCGACTACGCCGCGAGGATGCTACTCTGCAGCCGGCGGCAGCTACCGTACACTACTACGCACGTACAGCCTCTCCGTCTCTCCGTCTCTGGTCCGTATGTACATACATACAAAACCTCCGCGGCGCTCTCGCCGCCGGAGAGCAGCGGGTACATCACCACGCTGGTCACGCACGCTGGCCGGGATCTCCTCCTGGCCGGGAAGCTTTGTAGGCTTCTTGTTCGTAGCAGTGTGCGTTGGTGACGAAGTAGTCCCGCTGCGGCCGGATCTCCTCCTGGCCGGAAGCTTTTTAGGCTTCTTGTTGAAAGTTGCGGAGATGTGTTTTCGTCCTGGATTGGGAGTAGTCCCGGCCGAGCCAACTCTTACGTGGCCATGTCGCCAATTTATTTATCGGCGATCGCGACTCCGGATGAAAAGCGTATCTTTACGCGCGAGGGGTGATTTTTTTCGGGTGCTAAAAGATTAGACGGTGGGATTGAAAGTTGTTGGAGATGTGTTTTTCTAAAAATCCTGGATTGGGAGAGTCTTCTAGGAACTCTCGGAGATGCAACTCTTACTTGAGATAATAAACCAATATTCGTTTCTGGTTGGCTCCTGGTCCTCGTGTATATGCGTGGCTTGGCTTGGCCTTGGCTCCAGCCCCCTTCATTCAGGGTGTTGTTTGTTTCCAGAAACGGTAATGACAATGCAAAGGGAATGAATACCCGTAGAAGCAGGAAGGGAAGGTTTGAAGAGCTAGATGCCTAAATCATTCCCGCGATCTGTTACCTCTCAGAATCCAGCGGAACCTGGCTTCTGAAGGCGTGGACCCGTTGCCTCGGCACCAAGTTACGTCGTGGGTTAAACAAACGTAAACTAACGTGATCAGTTGACAGTGAGATCCGATCTCGCTCATAAACGGTCGAAACAAACAGCACCTAGTGTCCACCCAATTTTCTTCCCCCTCCCCCACCATAACTGTCGAAGGTATTGCTTGGTTATCTCACCTATGATTCCATTTCTGCAACGGTAATACTTTAATCCAAGTGTCCGACTCTTTACTGGATATCGGACGGATGTGGGGCGTGGGGCCATGTCAATTTTAATTCTCGTCTACTATAGCCCAACTAACACAACCTTTGTTTAATATCCCGTCAATTCATCACATGTCCATCTCCCACTCCGCCGCCCGCTTTGCTGCTCCTGCCGCTGCTCCGCGCGCTCGCCCCTGCTCCTACCGCTCGCCGCCGACGTAAAACAAACGCCCCACTGCGGCACCGCCGCACCATCACCATGGCTATGGCTTCCACCATCACCGCTGCTGCTTCTCTTCGTCTCGCCTTGCATCCCTCTCCACGTCATCCTCCAATACCCTTCGCTTCCCTCTCCGCCGCTGTAACAATTTCCAAAAATCGTTACAGCCGCCGCCGTGCCTCCCGCCCCCTCACCGTTGCTGCCTTCAAGAAGCTCTCAAAGGGACCATCCCTCAGGAGCCCACTCAGCCCCTGGTCGACGAGGACGCCCTACCCCAAAGCTCGGAGTCTACGGCGTCTACATCCCTGCCGGGGAGCTGCAGTTCGTCGGGATTTCGCGCAACGTTAGGGCCAACATCACGGCCGCACCAAGATACGATGTAGGTTGCAAGCGTACATTTCAAATGTTTCAGATGTTTTAGAGGTATGTTGCAAGTGTTTCATAAGAATGTTGCAAAAGTAGATCGGGATGTTGCACATGTTGCAATAGGCTATACACGTATGTTTTAAGTGTATGCTCCAAATGTTTTATCTGTTTCAGACGTATGTTGCAACTGTTTTATTTGGATGTTGCAAAACTAGATCGGGATGTTGATATATATGCAAAGTGTTTCAGGTGTTTTTATACGTATGTTGCAAGTGTTTCATCTTGATGTTCGCATATGTTTGCAATAGCTACACACGTGTTTTTAAGTTTTTTTGTGTGTGTTTTGCAAGTGTTTCAATTATTTCGGACGTATGTTGCAAGTGTTTCATCGGGATGTTGCAAAAGTAAATCGGGTGTTGCATATGTTGCAATGCACGTGAGAAGGGGAGAGGGCGTGAGCGGTCCCGCCTGCGTGCGGTCTGGCGGCGCGGGCGTCGTTCGGGTGGCACGGGCCCCACATGGGCGCGCGAAATGCAGGCCCAGGTGGGGGCGTGCTAGCCCGAGCGCGGGAAACGAAGTGCAGCGCGAGCGTCCGTCCAGACGTCCGGACACTAGCACCGCCGTTTCTACAAAGGGTTGGTGTCTACCCGCTTAGTTGTATAGCATTGTCTCGAAAAAACATCGATCTATAAAAGATTCAAAAATAAGTTGGATCGATTGGAACCTCGCCCTGTAGAGAACTGAGATAATAAGCCGCAGGTGCATAAGTCCACATTTTCCTTTGCGCGCTGAAACTGTCAGCCAGTTACCGTTTTTACTCCCTTGCAAAAGGAAAACGAAAAGGAAAAGTGTACTTTTTTCCAACTAGAAAACGAAAATGTCACGCGTACCTTTGGGGCTTTGACGTTTTGACCATTAACAGTGACAGGCTGACAGCACCCAGTTCCGTGGCTGCCAAGCCTGCACACCTTCCTGGATCCCCCCTTCCTTGCCACCTGCATCACTCTCTTCTCGCCACCTTGTAGTTACCTACAATACAAATAGCTCAGCACTTGGCGTCTCTGCATCAGAACTAATTACAAGGCAAGGGCGCAGCAGCTAGCTGCAGCAATGGTGTACGAGGCAGCTGCGGCCGTTGCGGAGAGGGACCAAAGCCAGCAGCTGCGCAGCCGAGAAGACAAGGGTGTCGGAAGAAGCCAGCAGCGACAGGCGCCGGAGGAAGAGGAGAAGGTGGCGATGCGGTGCGGCATTCTCGGGATCCTCAGAAGGGTCCTCCCGCTCTCCAAGGCATCACCGTTGTCGTCGGAGAAGAAGTGAATGGCACTTGCACACTTGATGCATGGTTCCATCTCGTTATGATTTGTAACTTTTGTGAGAGTACTTACTCAATGTAGAGAAAATATGGTTCTCGGATCCCTGTAGGTGCCTGGCACCCTTAATCCACCGGTTTGCTGGAATCAATGAAAATCATTTATGTGGGGCTCTAACCCCTCCGGTGACGTCTTAAAAAAAAATGTAGAGAAAATATCATGATGTTAATCTTAGTGTTGTGAGTAGTGTATTGTAGCTAGCTAGTGGGGTTTGTGATAATCCAAGTGTCAGTTTATCGATCGAAAGTTAAGTGTAAATAAAGCAGCTTTACCATTTGTTTGTGGAGGCTCATGATTCATGAAGAATGTGCCCTGAACAGTAACATTGTCCAGACCTGTACATTTTTACTTTTGATGGCTCAGTAAACCGGACGGTTGTAACATTATTGACCACAGCGGCTGTAAGCAGAAGCGAACGCGTATTAGTAGCTGCTAGTTCATAAGTCGCAGCCGCTGCAGTAGCTGAAACAAACACTTCTACATTGATGAATGTTGCAAGTAAAATGTTACAAATGTGTACTATGTTGTAATACATTAATATAATATTTGAAACATGTGACAAATATATACCCTACGATAACATAAAATAATGTTATTATTAAAGTGTTCATGTGGACCTTCCAATCCCTGAGCAGCGAGGACGTCGCACTATGTGTTGTCCTAGCTAATAGTCAATCACATCATGGTCCTCACATGACACTAGAACAGGAAGAGGTAGGCAATTGAAAAGACCATTTAGATGCTACAGCCTGCTTTCAAATTGTTAGGCTAAGTTCAAGAAATTGTGGATGGAGCAAGATCAGGAGAGGAACAAGTACCATGGGAAAGAAAAACCGAAAAACAAAAAATTACGTAAGATTAAATGGGGAGAATAGTAGAATTACTTTGGTGGTGTTGTGTGAACCCACTACTTTCCTTGAATCTAAAATTATATATGGTGATCTAGAATTTCATCTTTTTGGTCAATTATCCTGCTTCTTTTGGGCTATGGGAAAAGAATAAGCCATCTATCTCAGTGGCAACCCCATCTCCAACACTTACCATGGTCTAACAGCAACCCTTCCTTGAATTTCAAATGAAATATTGTTCAACCACATGCTTTTTTGATCCACCAATAAACCTGTTGGGGGGTTCAACCTTGGACAACGCAGTCCCCCGAAGTCGCTTAACAAGTATATATTAACTAAAACAACTTCTAAGATGCAGCTATTCCTGTCTTAAGGATTGGCTTCATAGGAGCGCTCGGAATGACGAAGGCGAACGCGCAAAGCCGAAGACAAATAATCAACTTCGGCATATGGCGAAGATGAAGCCAAATCAAAACAAACTCAACAAGAATAAAGCCTACGAAGACTCCTTCAGGTGAAGACTCTTCTCATCGAGTGAAGCCCAAGGATTGTCGCTGAAGTGTAATTGATTGCGGCTGTAAAATGACCATTTAACCCCAGTTAGAAATAAAAGGTGGTCTTGATTGTAATAATGAAATCAAGGGTAGAAGGGGAATTGTATAGAGAGAGTTGAAGACTCTCCCACTATAAGTACCTCCTGACATGTACCTTTTTGTGGACATGAAATAAATATACAATAGAGTTAATTCCTCATTGTGATGCTTCAGTGATAATTCGCCAACACAACCAGTCTAACTTGGTTATTAAGAAAATTGTGACCGATATTGACAGGTATGGCTGACAAAGAATATAGATAAATTAAATAAGAATTGGGCAAAAATTGTCTCATGGTTTATATTTAGGGAGAATTATTTATTTGGCACTGAAACAAATCAATGTTTTGTATTTGGCACTCGAAAATTTGAACTTTCGTATTTGACATCAAGTTAAAGGCCTTGTTTAGATGATGGTTGGGAATCAGTATTTGACACTGTAGCATTTTCGTTTGTATTTGACAATTATTGTCCAATCATGGCCTAACTAGACTCAAAAGATTCGTCTCGTAATTTACAATCAAACTGTGTAATTAGTTATTTTTTTATCTACATTTAATACTCCATACATGTGTCCAAAGATTTGATGTGATGGAGAGAGAGTGAAAAAACTTGGAATCTAAACGAGGCCAAAATTTTCTTTCTTAAATGACATTGCCGTCCATCTAGGACAGTAACAGTGTCAACTCACTGCCAAAACGACGTAAATACCCCACGGAGTCCCCAGCGACGACGAGCCGCGCGGCGGCGTCAAGCAGCGCGCGCACACGCAGCGCGGCGCGCTTCGGCGAGCACACGCGCGGCGGCGGCGGGCGCGAAGCGCGCAGCCTGGCGAAGCGAAGCTTCACTGCAGCAGCACGCGAGTGCGCGGCCAGTGGAGCAAGTAAGCGCAGCGGCGGCTGCCGGCGAGCGCACTGCAGCACGCGAGAGGTCTTATGCACGGCGGCGCCAGCACGGAGGCGGGGCCTGCACGGCGGCGCGGCCTGGCCTGCGCATCCTGCGACGGAGGCGGGGCCTGCATGGCGGCGTGGCCTGGCCTGCGCATCCTGCTCGACGGCAGAGTGTCACGGTCTGCACTGTGGCGCGGCACGGTCTGTGCGGCGGCGGCTCGAGGGCAGCGGCGCGGGTGAGCTCCCCCGGCAGTGTGTGCCAGCGCAGAGGCGCGCGAACAGACCTCCAGCGCAAGTGAGCTCCCGCGGCGGCGCGGGCCAGCACGCGAGCAGAGCTGCAGCGCAGGCGGCACGCGAGGGTGGCGGCGCAGACGAGACCAGCGGCGGCGCAGGGCGGGCACGGCCGGCGCAGCCGAGGCGCGACCGAGTGGGGCGGGCGCAGGCAGGCGCGGCCGGCGGGCGAGCGCGGCGCGGCTAGAAACCGGTGGTTTCTTCCCACGAAAGGGCCGGAGATTCACACGACAACGGTCGAGAGCTGAGGGCTGCTCGTGCGCTCGATGCTCCGGCTGCGGGAAAAGCGGTGGCGCCGGCGCCGGCGCGGGCCCATTCGCCGGAGCACGCGCGCGGCAGAGGCTGCACGCGGCTCCGTCGAGTGGCTCCCCGTCGGCCCTAAGGAAGACGGCGCATGCGGAGTCTCTTCGCGGCGGCGGCGAGGCGATCTGATGCGCGACGGCAGCGATAGCTCGCCGTAATGCGCGTGCGTGGTCCGCGGTGGTGGCAGCTGCGGCGTCGCCCTGAGACGCGTGCGCAGCGCCAGCAGATGCGCTCTGATGCGCGCGCGGCAGCGGCAGCACACTTGTCGCTGGCAGACTTGCTCTCCATCAGCAATTCTTGTAGATCCTTATGTGCTCGTGAACCACCATAGTGGTCACACGTGCCGCGACGAGAAGTGGAGCGGCGCCTTGCATCAATGGCTGACGAGTCTCCAAAACGACAAGGAGATCGGAAGCTGTCATGGTGGATAATTCCTCTCACGCCACATCCCAGGAGGGCGGCGCGACGAAATGTTGCCAGCATCATTGTAACACTGGACTTGGCTGTTGTTGGCCTTGCTAAGATGCCGGCTCACATGCCCATGCTGCCGCAGGGGCGTCGCCACAAGCGGTGGAAACTCGTCAGGGAAGCATAGCCGCTTGTGAACGGAGCGATGAGCTGTGCCACATATCCGGCCGGTGGTTGTTGGGGCGGCGCCGCGCTGGGCAATGCTTGGAGAAGTGCCCACTGCAGCTGCAGCGCAAGCACCTCGGCGGGTCACGACAGGATGCGACCTTGTGGTCTCTAGAGAGGCACCGGAAGCATCGCCCTTGGAATTGGTTGAGGAAGCTGAGACGACGGTCGGCCATGACTGGTGGAGTCTTCCCTGATGTCATTGCAACTTCGTGCAGGTTCTTCTATCCTCTCGGCTCCGATGGGTTCCGCGGCACACCCACGCGCGTTCGGCGACATGACGCGGTAGTGGCGAGACACCCTGGGCCCGAGTCGCTGGTGTGCTGGAGCTCGACGCGGAGGCAGGTGATTGTTGCGTCCTCTGAATGGAAGGCCATGGACCAGTTGAGGACGTGGGCGACTCTGACGCCGACGGTGGCTCGCGCGCACTGTGCGCCGCGAATCTGCAAGCTCGGCCCCGGTCGGCGCCACGCCGGCGGCCGGCAAGCTCATCCCTGGCAACCGTGGAAGGCGCGCGGGCGAGCTTGGCCCGTCTTGCAATGGAACTCCTCCAGGTCCGTGTAGCAGCAACAGCAGGTCCATGTCAGTGCCGAGCCGTGGCAACGCGGGCTTGGGCGTGGCGGAGCTCCATGGCTTCGCTGCGGAGGCAAATTGTAATTCCCTTACGTTTGGCCAAACTTCAGTCTTCTAAGGGATACATTGGACAGAGAGAAAAAACTGACATAATCAAATCAATCAACTAACAGATAACCAATGAAAATTGACAGCAGTACCATTTAAGAAATGAAATTTTAACTTGATGCCAAATAGAAAAGTTCAAATTTTCGAGTGGCAAATACAACACACTGATTTGTTTTAGTGCTAAATAGATAATTCTCCCTTATATTTAACTGTGATTGATCAAAACCAATGTTCTAAAGTGACTAAAAAGGTCAAAAAAAAAAGAAGGTAGTTCAATATACCTAAGAACAATATTTGAGGAAAATTAAAAATGCTTTCACAAAAGAATGAGGTAATTGGAAACCGCCGAGGCGATATCCAAAATAACTTAAACCATCATATAGACCATTACATATAGCATATGAATTAACGGAGAATTCGAGACTAAATAAACGACAACCATATATGCTCTATAACTTCATGATCATGCATCTATTATAACTCTGGAACCAGGTGATTAGGGTTGCCACAAAACATTAAAATGCAATGCTAGAAGACCAGTCCACCCTCCACCACATCATGTCATGTCATGACGGGCGGGGCCGTGCATGTCACACTTAGCCACATGTGTGCATTGGCACATTCTTCTTCTATCCAAACTTCATAACAGGAAGGGCGTTACTAGCGCCCGGACGTCCGGAGCTGCTCCAAAATATCGAATGCCTCCGG